GCACCCGGGGTCTCACACTGGCCCCACTTTGGATCCTTGCGTCTCCGCAAGGCCCAATACAAACAGTCACACAGCACACAATTAGTCCAAGCTCCCCTAGGACGGATACGTTTCACTTGTTTCACGCCTCCTACGAGCTCAGAGGTGTCACACAACACTTATCTCCTATGCGTGAGCTCAAAGATGGGTCTGCACCTAGATTAGGTCGGCTCTGATACCAATTGTAACGCCCCAACTGCTAGGTCTGTCCCAGTAACTATTTGGGTGATCATTCTCGCTAGACCCAAAATAATTAACCCAAGTTACAAATAGACCAGGCTGCTGAGCCTTATATGTTGATCACCTTCTTCACCTCCCAACGATGTGGGACAACTAGAGTATCTAGCTTGACTAGCTTGCTTTGCACCCGGGGTCTCACAACTTTGCTTCAACGCTTTCCTGGTAGATAACTTCAATCTATCGACCTCATCTTTCTCATTATATACTAATGTGAAGGGTGATGCCAAAGATTTAATGGAGATTTCCCAGGACCTTCAACTTTTTGTTTGTTTCTTTGTAGTAGTAGGATAGGATCAGCCTACTAATCAAGAAACACTCAGGGGTAAATTGTCTAGATGTAATTAAATTACTTATTCTTTTTTTTTTTGGGTACCACTTTTCTCAGCTGAAATAGGATCAGCCTATCATGAATTTCCTTTTTTTTTTTTCCTTCAAAAAATCTTGTTTGGCTAGATTAAACATTTATGGTTTTTTGGAGTTTGTTCAAGACAAGTTAAGGTTTGCTTCTATATTTTCACTACTTGAAGGTTTTTAGGGGAACAAATATACCCCCACCATTATATTTCAAATTCAATATGTTTGGCATCGAGTGGCGTTAAACAAAATGGAACCATTAAATGGAGAACTGGAGGTACCACTGAATTAGTATATTTATAATCTTGTCATATTATAAATAGGTAGTATATTAGAATATTGTCATAATTTTATTTGACGGCCTCTCTTTATCTTTTCCTTACAAATAAAACCATCATTCTGGTTATAAAGAAAATACATTTAGTGCAAAGTCTGCAACAAACAAACATTATGTAACTTTCTGAATGTAATTTGAAAATTATTCAACAATTCGTTTCATAATGTGATAAAAGGGAGTAGGGCTATTAAACGAACCGAGTCGAGTTCGAGTAATCGCGAGTAGCTCGGTCAATCGCTCAAGCTCGACTCGAGTTTGACCGAATTCGAGTCGAATTCTAGTAGTAGTATTATTAGTGAATCGAGTCGAGTTCGAGTATTAAATGTTGAGCTTGAAAACTCGACGAGTAGCTCGGCTCGATTAATTATAATATATTATATTTATTTATACAATATTAATGAGATATAAAATAGGACAAAATACATTTTTCGTCCCCCAACTTTTGAGGGTAGCAAGATGGAGTCACTATGAATTTCAATTAGAAAAAACAATGCTCTAAAATATTTTTCTCATCAATTTTGGTCGATTTAACAGAACTTTTTCACATTTAACTGTCAAACTTTTTTTTCCGTGAAGTATTTAATTTTTTATTAATTTCTTTATGAACGTGGGGTCCACTACTTTGACCCAACAAAAAAATCTTTTTTTTATCATTTCTTTTTGTTTTAAGATTTAATATTTTTTTTAAAAAAAATAATAAATTTCATTTTCCCTTCATCCTTGTTGGGCGATCTTTCTCCGATTGGCGACAATTAAGATTTGGAGTTGTCGTAAAGGATAAAATTTTGGTTTCCTGGATAACGATAATCTCCTTACACCATGAAAATACTTCAATTTGCTGTATCTTTTATTCGATTTAGGCCTCCTTGGATTTATCTATGATGACTAGCGGGGAAAAAAACACAACCAAATTCTAATCTGCTCTTTCATAAATGATGGTTTAGACTTTGTGGGCTTAATGATAATGTTGAGATTCAATTTGCAGAGTACTTGAGATTTGGTCTCTTTGAGCCCAACCTGCATTATGATCTGATTAGGATGTGAAGAGATATTTGTCTCAGAATTTTTATTTTTATTTTTTTAAAAAAACTGGTATATGTTTTTTAGACTAATTACCAGATTTATTTATGACTTTTATTTACCTCGTTCATATTGGAATCGATGAAATTCTTTTTCAATTCTGCATCTGAGGTAGGGGAAAGAGATAGATTAACAAGGCTTTGTTATTTAGTTGGTTTGGGGGAAGACGTAATGGATTTGTATTTTTTTTTTGGGTCGAAAATGAAGGTAATGAATTTGTCTCTGTGAATTGAATAGATGTTTCATGTTTGGTGCCTAGTTCCATGGAAGTGTTACTAGTGAATTTTGGTCTTTCTAAACAAGGAGAAAGATGAAGGAAGGAGTGGAGATCTCGCTGAAAAAGTGAAAATTGCATAAAGGAGGTAATGAATTTGTCTCGTCGGATTTCAAGTGGTTTTCTTTTACCGGATCGAAGCATCGTGCCGATGAACCTCTTGCCTGAGTTCGGCCACCCGGAGTTTCCTCAACTCCTCCAGCCAAGGGAAAGCATTGTCACTGCCGGCACCCGAACCTCCGTCATGTTTGTCGTCATTATCAATTAAACTTAAAATAAAAAGAAATGAAAAAAAAAGAATTTTTTTTTTTGGGTCAAAGTAGTGGACCCCATATTCATTAAAAAAAATTAATAAAAAGTTAAATACTTAACGAAAAAAAGTTTGACAGTTAAGTTTGAAAAAAATTCTGTTAAATCAACCAAAAATGATGAGAAAAACATTTCAGGGGACTGTTTTTGCCAATTAAAAATTCATGGTGACTCCATCTTACTACGCTCAAAAGTTGGGGGACGACAAGTGCATCCGATCCTATAAAATATATAGTTTAAATAAGTGTTTTACTTTGATTTACATATAATAATGTAATAGTCTCATTGAATTTACACTTTTACATTTCTACCTTGGTCAAATCAAACAAATCTGAATCAAATCCCCCTTTTTTTGAAAACCAAAAAATCTCGGCCCTCCTTCTGTCTCCCTCTTCTCCACTCTCATCTTTTTCCCATCCATCCTTTCTTCTTCATGTCAAATTCATCTACGCCTTCAGTTCTTAGATCTGATTTTTAATTGTCTTATCTCCAGTTCTTCATTTCATCTATTCCCCTTTAGTTCGTAGATCTGTTTTTAATTGTTTATCTCCCCTTTCCATTTTCCATTCTCTTTCCATGTGTCCCTTCTACGTCTCGTTCATTTGGTGGAAGTTAATGGCGGATGAAACCTCAACATTCAAAGCTTAATGGAATGTAAATGTTGATTGGATCTGATTTTCCTCTCATCCAAAAGTCTTTTGATGTTCTTAGTTCCTTGAAAAGAATAATCTTTTCAAAAATATTGTGAAAGATTTTTTTTTAAAAAAATTAACGAGTCGAGCTCGAGTCGAACTGGAGCCTACTAAATTTATCAACGAGTCGAGTTCGAGTTTTAAATTTGATACTCGTCGAATTCGAGTTCAAGTTCGAGCCGAGCCAAAGATATTCGAGTTTGAGTTCGAGTACACTACTACTCGGGCTCGGCTCGACTCAAATACACCCCTAAAAGGGAGTGTAGTGATTAAAGATAAAAGGAAATGTAGTGACTAAACGTTTTTATATTTTTTGCATTTTGTTTAGTGACTAAATTTGGATTTGCAAAAATATGGAACAGAGAGCGATTTAGCATGCATTTGCAAAATTAATAATTAACAAACAAACATAATCGGTAAGAATAAAAAAAATTTCCTAGGAAGTGTAAGATGTTATATCTAAATTATATATAAAATTTTATTTATAGTCTTCTTTCAACTTTAATGGTGTCCGATATTTTTCCTATGAAGTGTAACAACTTTTTTGATAGGGACATTATAGTTAGTTTATAAATAAACAACTAACTTAACTCTTAGAAAATAATCATTTGTGTCTTGTATCAAGAACTAGAGGGAGTATAATTATATTTATACTTAGCATTTTAGTTTTGACAAAAAATTGATAAAGTAATACAACTTTTCATTTTTTCAATTTTATAATTTTTATTTAAATTTATTTACCTGTCCAACGGATGGATTTAACATTTAGTTGTTGTTTATGAATACACATAGTGACTCATTGCCCAAAAGAATAAATACTAAATGATTAAAGTTCATTTTTTTTCAGTTAGACAACAGTGGATCAATTGTTTATCTTTATCAGATCTTGAATTTATGAAAGAAGGATAATAAAGTGAATTTTAAAAATGCTCACTTATCTATTATGTCTCGATTTTGACAGGTCTCTGAATTAAGTCCAAACTCTCAATTTTATATGTAGATTCATAATGAAATCTAGGATTATGCAGAGGTACAAACATGATACTAACAACGTTATTCCGAATCGGGAACTTTGTAGACTATAATTGAATAATTAGGTGCCAAACAATCTGTATGAAACTACAATTTTAGTGGACACATATATTCTTTGGCGGGTAACTTATGGTGCTAATGTAATAAAGTTATCTTCTCAAGAAGTGATATATAAAAAGTGTAACAAGATCACTATCGTCCAAACATGGACACTCAGCCTAGTTGCCTATCTTAGTCACAAATATAAGAAAGAAGTTTGTCTTATTTTTCTTAAATCAGCTGGTTAATCGACTTAATGGATTGGAGTAGTTAATAAACTCAAAGTAAATTAAAAAAAAATGATTACTAGTAAGGTTGTTTTTTTTTTAAAAAAAGATAAAATAAAAAAAAATTGAAAATCATTGCCGTTTCCTTTTCTTATTTTCAAGGAAGAATTGATTGTCTAGCTCCTTTTTCCAAAACATTTTCCCCTCTTTTCTAAAACCCCTGCGCTAATGAATCGATCTATACAATATTTACACAAATTTGTACGGAGTTGTATTTAGTTATTAATTGTTTTCATTATCTCATATTTTTTCCATCTCTAGAAATGATGTCTTTTTCGAACATTTTCATTAAAGTTTGTACATCAGGAACACTTGTATTGCACTAATATTCATCCGTTCATTTACTTTGTCTTACATTCCCCCCCTCCGCACTCTTAAAATGCAAAAAAAAAAAAAGGAAAAAAAAGAGCAGAGTCTTTTAGAGAAATATTATGAATAACTCTTCCAATTGCAAAGAGAAATACGTTTACATAAATAGTCAAAGACTAAGAAGATAATTTTTGGAAAGAGGTAAGAATCATGTCTTGACTGATATCGGGCTCATGGACCTTGGCCGAATACTGATTTGAAACCTTTTTATCAGAATCCGTGGCTTGAACTATGACGGTGTATTTTCCGCCGTCGCCTTTATACCTATACTGCATATCGCCTTTGATCACATATTCAAACACTAAATTGGCCTGATTTTTCTTATTGTACTCCCCGACGGCCCATCTTCCGGCCATCACGATATTGCCGTCGTCGGTATCATGACTTTTAGCGGAGGAGAGACAAACCAACGCCAGAGTAACAAGAACGATCAGCTGAATCTTGAACCACAACATTTTTTGAGAACTGATTAATTTTTTGTTTGCAATTTGTTTAAAGGGTGATTTTCCAATTATATTGGCAAAATATTCTAGACTTTTTTTATTGTATTTGTTTTCTCTTGGATGGATCTGGTTGAATGGGGTTTAATTAGGCTTTATTTATAGAGAAAATGAGTTATTCCCTGTGTCTCCAATTATTATAAAGTTTGGATTTTCATTTTTAATAATAAAGGAAGTATTACGTATGCATGACTTTGGCAAATGATGCCATTCGTTAGTTAATAATTGGTTCTAATATAATTCAACCTTTACTGACGAATTAAATTGTATTTCAGTAATCTGGAGTTCGAGAGCAAATATAGTACGTATGCAATGAATGTTCATATATATATATATACTTGTGCTTTTTAATTTTAGTCTTTGCTTGTACACCAGACATCTCTGATAATTTTTCAATTTGAAAATAAAGGCACAAATTTTACATAAATGAAAACACACTCTATATGTTGAGTGGTTGTCTTCTTGGTTAAAACATGGGATTCTTTAACTTCTTTTGGTCATTTTTCACTTCGATGCGGTGATGTGGTATTAATGAGACAAAGAAGTTTGAATATTTACTAATACCTCTTGATTTTCATTAAAAACTACCTAAAGCATACTTCATATAAATTCTAAATCGTTTAACAAATCAGCTGTCTGTTTATAAGTTATAACGATTATTGTAATCCGTTAATGATAGAAACAATGATCTAGTATATTGACTAAAAATTTTCTCCAATTAACAGATAATTAAACATAACATCGCATTGAGACATACAGACTCCAACTAAGTTATTAGAAATGCAAAGTTATTAATTTTCATAAATTCGTCATACTCTATAGAGACATATATGTGAAATTAACTATTCAACCCTCTTTTAATTGTTTGATGTAGGATATAATCCCTTCTCATTTACAATGAGGAGTCCAATGTAACAACATATAATAAAAACTTGAGAAATTTTATGATCGAATCTGGTTAATTTAAGAAGAAAGCTTCTTGACTTTCTTGAAGGACAGAAGCTTCATGCGACCAACCTTGAACTCCTTCCAGACATTAGCCCGATACGTGTTGGACTTTTGATCCTTCTTGTCCTTGGCCACGATGGTAACGTTGTACCCTGTGCCCTTCTCGAACACGTAGTGCGCGAATCCTTCCTTCACGTATTCGAATTTCAATTTGTCCTGTTTTTCCTTGTTGTGTACCCTGATTGCAAATCTCCCAGCCTTCACTATGGTGACGTCAGCATTGATCGAGGAGAGACAAGCAGAGCCAAGAACCGTTAGGATGATGAGCTGAATCTTGATCGACAACATTTTCTGGGATGATTTTGGTTTTCCCAGAATTTTATTTAGCCTTTTTCTTTCTTATTTTTACTCTTTTTTGGGGGTAGTTTAATTTTGGATCGAATTTGGAAACAGTGAATGTATTTGGGTTGAGGCGTTATTTATAGATGAGGAACTTTGCATTTATTGTAATGTAAACCAAAAAAATAAATAAATAATAATAAAAAGAAAGAATGAATAAAAAGAAAAGGAACTTTGCATGTTGCATGCACGAAAAAAAATAGGATATTTATATCTCAATATTTGTATTTCTTTATTAAATTTTGGCAGCAGAAATGATGTCTTGATTGACACACAAATGACGTTATGTTGATAGTTAGTGACATCTAAGTTGCTCAGATAGCACTACAATCCTCAATTAAACACCCTTTATATATGTCATCCGATATCAATTGTGTTCCATTGATCCCCAAAAATGACAAAATTTAGTGTGGAATAATTAATAATGTCACAATGAAAAACATCAAAAGCTTGAATTTAGCAACAAAAAACTTGATTTACAATATGTTGTGACCAATGTCTTGAAAAATGATAGATAAATCAAAGACCAAACTAATGAACAAAATCTTAAAGAACTAAGACAGAAGCGATGTTTGGTTACATATATTATAGAAACCATAATTGCAAATTCCGCTGAGAACGACAGTTCATTTTATCAATCTAAAATCATACAGTGATGACATAACATTTCAAAATGAGGCTCTCTCTATACTTCTTTCTTCTCGTGTTATGCCGAATTCTTCTACAACCTATCAAGAATAAAAAATTACGTTGCCTCGTATTTTTTGAAAGAAAGCGTAAAATATCAGCTGATGTTTATATAGGAGTGCAATTTAATCATTTTTATCATGACTCTTTAAGAATTTTTTACTTCAAACAGAAAAATACTTTAAATTCAATATCTAAGATATTTTCCAATAAGTCGGACTCGGTATCATAGTAATCTGGGCATGTACTGTAACGCTTGTCCAACTATTTTCCACATGCTTTCTGTCCATTTTTTGGACTATGTAATTAGTGTTTTTGAAATATCTAAATTTAATGAATCCTATTAAAATTGGATTTCGTGAATATGACATTACTTCCAAACTCGGAAGGTCATAATTAACCGAAGTAACTTTTTTTTAATTTACTTTTTGGGTGTAGTTGATTTGAAATTTCGCTCATAGTCTGCTCCAGTATCTTGTTCTCTTAATCCAAAAAATGACGAAGAACCGAAAACGTAGAAAGAAGCAAACTAATTTTCGGACATGAAAAGTGAAAGCCAATGAATAAAGCACGAGTTTCATAATACTATTACTCTTTATTTCTCAAATAAACACTTTGTCTTTGTTCGATAATTATGCAACAATTTGCCCGATATAAAAACATTCCTTTGCTTAGGATTTCTTGGGAGCTTTTAATTCTAGCAAAAGATGCCGGTCAAAGTCATCGCTACCAGGCCATTCTCGATGCTTTCTTACTCAGGAGCTCGGGGAAGCTTGTTTCATTCACGCAAAAAGACTAATTTTTAATTTAATTTAATTTTATTTTTATTTTTGAAAGCAACCATATATATCTGTTCCTTTAAGTTGGGCTCATTCCAGGCCAGAATAACAAAAACTTACCTCTTCTTCAAGAGGGAATATACACTAAAGCTAGCACTGAACAGAAAGATAAAATAGAACCAATTTTGTTACTGATAACATGGGAAGAAAACACTTATAGACAACATTAGATATTTACATGTGTTTGTTAATTAGATAGAAACGCCAAGTAAAGCAAAAGCAACAGCAGGAGTCTTCCGATGCCTGATGACTTTCTCTTGGATTTGATGGATGTTGCAAGGATACATGGCTCTTCCAACGTCACTCTTTAATAAGCAACTCTAAGCCTTTTAACACCCGCACCAGGCCTTCTAACACAAGCATCAGCATGGTAAGTAGCAATGTCAGCACCCCCAATAGGAACCGCAGCAGAGGCATCAGCACTGTCAATAGTATCTTCAACCACCCCGGCAGGAGAGGTGACAGGGGCATCAGCAGAAACTACTTTGCGGTTCGACTCCTGTACCCGCAGCAATAGATAGAAAGTAAGGCCAAAATCTTCGGGGGATGATTATGTTCATCATAAGAGGGCGAAACTCATCCATAGAGACTTCATCTTTCGCTAATTTCATGCAAAGAGTACTAAGCAGCACTGCATTGTCCTCCTCAAGTCGAGGCTCAACAGCAGACTGCAAAAGGGGGATAGGCACTTCCCTCCAACCCTTACTTCGAACAATTGACTTTTGTCCACTACTAGCCTGAGTTGGATTTGGCTTACACTTGGAAGAGGCTTCATAGGCAAGCGCAAGATCCCCAAACATAATGGGGACATTAACACGTCCTAAACCTGGTTTTCTCTGAATCTTGAAATCCTTAAATTTAGCGGAAAACCCAAGCTTTTGGATGAATAGGGCATACTTTTGAGCAACTAGATTTGAATGTTCCTCGTCCTTGGCTCCCACGCAAATCATCATTCCAAAAGCATAAACGAACACCTTCGTGTTTGGCAGGGTTTTTATCCTGATGATTACAGCATCGATACGCTGAAACCACATCAACAAGTTAAAAAGAGCATAACGCACCATCAGCAATTGCTTCTTAAAAGAACATCAGGCAAACATAGGCAACTGGCAGAGTAAAGCAACACAGCTATTCAACAGGTTCACAATTTCCATAGCGAACTCAAAAGATGAAATACAAAAGTGACAACTGCAGCAGGTACTTTAAGTAATTAGTAGCATCATGACACAAGTAAAACCTATTGTCAGAAGCTCGGGTGCAGCTTTAATAGAAGTTACAGCCCAGAACTAATACTTGTACTTTAGGGTTCCAAAGTGATACTAATAGGGCTATAAAGATGCAACAGAAACAACATCAAAACCTCATCGAAGCTTCAACAAATTATGACAGTTTTAACACATCTATTTATCTCATTTCAAATATTCCCTTTAGCCTTCCTACCGAGGCTCAAGAAATATTTTAAACTCGCCTATGGTAAAATGCACTGTAATAGTATAGGTTCTCACTAATATATAGGAACCATTCTAAAAAAAAGAAAAGAAAAGCCCTTTAGCCTCGTAATTTGATCAAGCCTCCTATGTGTCCTATTATCTCTATTATCTTACAGGAACACCAAAAGGAACAGAGATGTTTGGCTGAATTCAGGTTTATCTCGTAACTAACGAGAATCAAGACAAAACCCTACAAAAAAGTCAGCGGAACAAAGCAGTGATTCCCCTTACCTTTGGATTATATCTCGCAAGGCCGCCAGCCTTTGATGCAATAGCGGTAAGGTCCACATAGCAGTCCAGAAAAACCGTCGATACAACATTGTCAGGAGTCGGGACAATTCGGATAAAATCCTCACTCCCAACTGAACCGTCACGATCTGTCATAGTCCAAATCTTCTATTTTTCTAAGGGTAGAACTGCGGAAGCGCGATTGCCGGGAAGGAACAGGGGTGAGCCTGGGGCTTGACTAATTTTTAATTAGTTTGTCATTTACTTTTTTTTTTTTTTTTGAAAAGGAGTTTGTCATTTACTTTGATTATTATATTTCAAATTTTATTATGAACTAGCATCTTTCTGTTAAGACCATTTAATTTTAATCTTTTTGGGCTCTATTGATTATTTGATGATGCTCGTTTCCTCGATCTTTTGGTGGCCCGTATGCACATATATATTGGTTCTTTTCTTTTCTTGTTTTCAAAGAAAAACAAAAAGTTACTATTGATAGAGGAACCAGAAAGAAAAAACTATAAAAATAAAAAAACGAAAAGAAGAAAAACGTAAGATGGATTTTTTTTTCCAGCATTGTGAGTTTATGTTGGAGTGATGTTACGAGATACACTAAGGTTGGAATGCACAAAATCTCCATTGACGTATACGTTCTTTTTTAATCTTTAATTTTCAAAATTAACATCTTATTGTCTCTTTGATTAGACAAAAATTTGCTCTAGTGGGCCTATTTATGTTCTCCTATTTTGTTCTTGCAAGAATAAGAAATCAAACCGAATGAAATCTTCAACTTAATTAATTAATCCTTTATTAATTTTGAATGCTTATGTGCCTACTTAGTTCACATTATACTAGCTAGTACTTTGTATTAGAAGAGAAATTATTTAGCCAGATTTACTGAATCAATATGACAGAAGAGAAGACCTATGAATTAATAAGGTTAATCCATGTATATATATTTTGAAAATCCCCTTTTAACCCCATGTGAGAATTGGACCACGAACCTGTGGTTCCTTTCACAAACGCTCTATGAAATCACAATAACTAATGATAAAAGTGCCAACTACTGTCGCATGTCAATTTTATAAAACCTTTATAATATGGTAGATATCATATTACAATAATCTACAAATAAAAACCTATATATACTCACACACACAAAAAAAAAAATCAAATTCATGTTGAGCAAGCCGGCAACAATGAATCGTCAATTTCTTCTCGAAACATTTGCATTCTACTGTCTTCTCACCGTCGCTTTATCCCGCGATGTGAAATGGTCGTCCTCCGATCCGCCGTCCGCGGAGCCGCCTTCTGGCGTCGTCGTCCTAGATCCAAAGGATCCCACCGTGATATCCCTCGGAAATTGGAGTGTGCACCTACATAATCTCAACCCATATGAACATAATTTAACGTTTGAATCTTTGATTCATACCCAGTATGAACACACACCAAACGCCATGGTAGATTGGGATCTTGATCACAAAGCAAAATATGAGGGTGTTTCTCATCTCTTCTTTGCAAGGTTGGAATCACATAGGAGTAATATTCACGGTCCCATGTGGCTTGTATATTGGCGACAAATGAATTAACTAGTTATGTTGATGTCATATTATGCGATCTCATGTAATTTGTATTCAGTTGCTTTGTAATGCCAATGATTTTCTCAATCAAAATTTGGGTTTAAGACTTGAGATCGTCACCAATATTTTAAAATTTTGTTTGTGTGTGTGTTTTCCTAGATCGATTACAGACTTACTTTTAATCCTTTTTGTCTCCGGAAGAAGATCATTAAAAAAAAATGTAGACCAGAAAATAATACTCCCTCCGTCCCATATTTATTGTCCAGTTTAAGTTCACTTTTAGTACAATTTGAACTATATATAGAAAAACTCAAACAGGACAATAATTATGGGACGTAGAGAGTACTTAACATGTCCCGGAGTCGAGATACTATTTCAAATTTCTTTGGAGAAACGTTATGATGTCAAAATCCAACCAATGAGATTTGATTTATTGATCTTGTAATCTACGAACAAATCAAGAATAAAAGAAGACAATGCTCCATTTAATTCATAAAATCGATAGTTCAAATTTAAGATTCTATCGTCCAATTTATATAAATTATAGTTGCCGCAAAGAAATATCATAATGAGACAGAGCGAGTGAGCGTTTTAAGAAAGGAAAATGTACCAACGTAAGAAAGTGATAAAGAATGTATGGAGTTTCAATAATACGTGAACTATGAAGTGAAAGAAATTTGGTCTATCTCTACCAGTAATTTCCAAGAGATATAATTAAACTTCCATTGACTTTTTAACAAAGAAAAGTACATTATACACTACAAATATATTAGCTTAAAGTACACATGAATTTGTTCAAGGAGAGAGGCTAACTGTCTGATTGTTTGTTAAGCTCAAACTACGAGGTGGAAACCATAGTACAGCTGAGAAACCTTATTATGTGAGGAGTGAGCCCATGTTATCCAACAAATTTGCCTAAGAACAAAACCGAGGGTGCTAGCAGGAAAATAGTAAATGGACTTGGCGATTCTCTCAAGTGCTCTTTTGCGGGTATCGTTATTAATGGAGATGCTAATATATCATCTAATTTCTCGAACAATATTCAGTTTTGTTTCATAAGTATTGAAATATTGGTAGCTTTTGTTTGTTACCAAAAAGAAAGATATTTCAACACCAATATTTAGATAAACCACAAATTTCAGCTTCGAAAAAAGAATAAGACGAAAAATGAAAGAAATTTTCCGCAACAATTGAAACTTACCAAAAAGTAGTTTAAGGTAGCTATGGCAAGTAACAATGTCAAAATTATTGAATACTGACATAACTTGCTAAACTAATGCGCTAATTAACCTATAAATCAAAACTTCTCTTCAATCCTCTGTCCTCTTCAAAAATAAATTATATTGAATTTTCAAGTTTGTACTAAAAATAATATAAATTTCAAAACTTAATGTAGACTATTGTTTGAGAGCAAATATTAGTACATATTAAATATTTTTACGATGAATAATGGCGTTTTTTTTTTCCGAATACAGAAAACGTTTATAGTGAAAGAGGTTTCAATTTAGCCATCCAATATTTATTTACACGACTGCTTCCATCATGGTAATAATTAAGCAAAGAGCCAACTGTCACACGCCAATTTAATAAAGCATTTACTATGGTAGATGCCATATTCTAGTAATCTACTGCGACCTCTATATATATATTCACAACGAAAATTAAGTGTTACCGAGTAAGATGGCAACAATGAATGTTCAATTCCTTCTCAAAACATTGGCATTGTACGGCCTTCTCACCGTCGCTTTATCCCGCGATGTGAAATGGCCGACCGCGGATCCGCCATCGGCCGAGCCGCCGTCTGGCGTCGTCGTCCTAGACCCAAAGGATCGCAACGTGATATACCTTGGAAAAATGAGTGTGGACCAGCATAACCTCAACCCATATGAACATGATTTAATTTTTGAATCTTTGATGCATGCCCAGTATGAACACACGCCAAACGTCATGGTACATTGGGATCTTGAACTCAAAGCACAAGATGACGGTGTTTCTCATCGCTACTTCGCAAGGTTGGAATCCCATGATCTTCACAGTAAGATACGGCTGATAGAATGGAGACAATTAAACTAGCTATATTATTGATGTTATAGTATGTGATTTCATTTGTATTCAGTTGCAATGTATTTCGAATCTCAAACAAAAGTTGAGTTTAAACTTTAGATCGTCACTGATATTTACAATTCTGAGTGTGTGTGTGTGTGTGTGTGTTGTGTGTGTGTCTGTTTTGCATTGGTTAGGAACTTCTTTTTAATCCTTTGCGTCTCCAAAAAAAAAAAATGAAAAAAAGGGTATAATCGACTATTTTCTAATATCAGAAAGACTGGAAAATAATCAAGATGTCCCAAAGTCGACAGACTATTTGCAATTACTATGAGCTACCCAATAACGTTATGTATTCGAAATCCAACCTATGAGATTTGATTAATTGATCCTGTAATCCGTGATGATAAAAATCTACAGTTCAAGTTTTGTGATTAAATGGTCCAATTTATTAAATTTAGCAGCCGGAATCATATATTCTAACCGGACGGAGTTAGTGATTGTTCTAAGAAGAAATTTTTTTCCAACTTAAAGATATCCTAGAAAATTGGTCTCGTCAAGTTGAAGTTCGGTATCGATTGACAAAATAATTGAGGAGAAAAGATGTTCGAAGGAAAGAGACGAATGAGGGAAAAGATTAACATTTAATTTGGACTAGAAAGGGCAATTTTGTGAAGAGGCTTTTTTTTTTTTTTGGATGCTAATTTATGCTACGGTAATATTGCCACCCTATTAAAAGCATTAATGAATTATAAATTAGAAATTGGAGGGTCAAGTTGGATTACATCTATAGATAGGGGAATTTTGCGGTAGATTGCCTAGTGGTGGTGAAGTTTGGAGGGTGCAGGGATAGAATTTGGGGGTGCAAGGGGTTGGGCGACCTGCGGTCGGCGGATTTTTTTGTTTTTTTGTTTTTTGTTTTTTCCAAAAAATACCTTATATAAATTTTAGGGTCAATTCAAAGTAACCCCTTGTGGTATTTGAAACTACATCATAACCCTCTTGTGCTATATAAATATCTAATAAACCCATGCATGCTTATTCCAACATTTGTAAGGTTAGGAATTACACACTTTGACTAACAGTAACAAGTTAAATGGCGAAGATGCCCCTTTAAACTACAATCTCCGCAAATTCAATTAATTTTATTCTGTTCTATTTTCTTGTGTATTAGAAACAACAGTCGATGATACTTTTAACCATTTACCTCCACCACTCAAATCATTGTTGTCAGCCGTTGCCTCACCGCCGCCAACAAAGAATCTATATGGAAAGATGTTTATTTTTCAAGGAAGCACATATCTTGAGTGCTCTGTTTTTCATTTTGCCCCTTTTTTTTTAAAAAAAAACCACTCCAGTGGACCCAAACGCTAATAATTTCTATTAATTATTTTGCCTTTATTTTCATTTTATTTTCATATCTTTTTTTTTCAATTTTGCCTTTATTTTCTAAAAACAACAATATCTTGTGGTTTTCTATTAATTTCCATTCTCTCAGTTGCCTCGTGGCCTTCATCATCAGCGCCACCATCACTACCATCATCAGCGCCACATCACCCCCCTTTAATTAATCATCTACAAGGCCTGCGGTCATTAATACCACTACCAAAAGAGTAGCATTATTTTATAAATATAAATTAGCATGAAAGATCTGTAGTCGCCGATGCCGACAACCAAATGTCTGTCTAAGTGCTGTATGTCGCTTTGTTGCTGTCGAGTGAGGAAAGACAAGATCTTGAATTGTAATTTGAGTTAAGCTTTCAACTTTATAGCCGATGTGCAAGAGATAAATGGATAAAAATGTGAAATAATATTAATACTCTAGTAGTCTAGTTAAATAAGGGTGGTGTAAGGGGTGATATCGATACAAAAATTTAATGATTGGGGGAGAACAAAAAACCCACACTGATTTGAGACGCGTAACAAGTACGGTCAGTTAGTTTTACCGATTTCTGTCAATATACAAACATCGGATTAAGTATGAGTGGGTTTATTAGATATTTATATAGCACAAGGGCGTTATAATGTAGTTTGGAATACCATAAAGGGGTTCTCTTGAATTAACCCTAAATTTTAAAATATTTGGAAAAGAAAAAACTCTATAAGTGAATATTTGAGTCTAGTTTCTTCACTTGAAGAGTGGGGCATAAAGAATTATTAAAACTGTCTGCTTTTGTAAAATTGCGATTGGCACTCCACTCAATCAGAATTGCATATTCGTGAAATTTAATCATTTGAATTCTAGATTTATGTCTGCTTTTTGTAACAAAAAAATAATGCACAAGAAATCGGATGTTCAAAAGTCTTTTAATTACTTGGGAAAGATTTCCATCAAATAGTCCATCACAATCTGCTACCAGCATTCATGAGTCAATAAAATTGCAAGTGTTTTCATCTGAAACTATAACGCCAATTCATGAAGTTCCAGACACCAAGGTTGAGCCAACCAAAAGAGAGAAATTTCAGCACTAATTTTTAGCCAAAAAACAAAATTCAGCTGGAAAAAAGAATAAGATGAAAAAAGAAAGATAAAATTTCCGCATCAATTGCAATTCTGCCCAAAAGAAATATGGTAACTAGAGCAAGAAACAATGTCAAACTTGTTGAATACTGATAAATCGCTGCAAAAAATTGAAACTGAATGGCCGAACTAATAATGAGCTAAATGAACCTATGAATCAAAAGTTGTCTTCAATCTTCTGTCCTCTTCAAGCTGAATTGACAGTCATGCTGTCGATAAAAGGGCTTCCAATGTCGCTAAGCACCACAACTATATCTCCTCCTTTGCATAGCTGCTTGTCTCTGGCACTTCTTATGGCAAAATCGTACTCTTCTTCCGTGGAGTTGTACAACCCAGGTACAATTCCACGGTACACCAAGCCATGTTTAACCGGCGCGACTGACAAAATCGGCACCCTCGGCCTGTATTTGGAGACGAGCTTAGAAGCTGTTCCATCCCTGGAAAGGACTATGATAACAGATGCCTTCGAAGAGCTCGCTGCCTGCACCGCGGCGCGGGCCAAGCTCTCGAGAACGCCCGTCGGCTCAGGCGCATTTTTGACAGCCCTTTTGAAAACTCGATCGTAATTGAGGGCATTCTCTGCTTCAACACAGATCCTAGCCATTGTCTGAACCGCAATCTCAGGGTAGGCCCCGGCGGCCGTCTCGCCGCTAAGCATCACGCAATCCGTGCCATCAATCACCGCGTTGGCCACGTCCGTGGCTTCGGCGCGAGTCGGCCGTGGAGATTTGATCATGGATTCCAGCATCTGGGTTGCGGTGACGACCGGTTTCCCCGCAATGTTGCACTTGTGAATCATCATCTTCTGAGCCAGGAAAATCTTTTCAATAGGAATCTCCATTCCCAAATCTCCCCTGGCAACCATAAAAGCATCAGTCTCCTTCAAGATGTCATCAAAATTAGAAACTCCTTCTTGATTCTCCACTTTTGACATTAGCATAATGGATTTGGCATGATCTCCGAGAAGCTCCCGAACCTGAACGAGATCGGATCCCTTTCGGACAAAAGACAGAGCAATTATGTCAATCTGGTTGGGAACTCCCCAGTGCAAGATATCCTCTTTGTCTTTGTCAGTTAAGGTTGGAAGATCAACAACAACTCCGGGGAGATTAACGTTCTTCTTCTCCCCTAAAACAGCCGAATTCTCGCACCGACAACGAACCAATCCTTTCTTCTTATCACAACTCAGGACAGTGAACGTGATTGTGCCATCAGAACAGAGGATCTCACTTCCCGGAACCAAGTCCTCCGCCAGCTTCTTGTAACTCATCGAAATCATATTCTTATCTCCCTTTATGGAGTAATCCGTTGAAATTGTGATTTCCTGACCCTGTTCAAGTTCAATTGGTTTCCCCTCATCCTTCAACAAGCCAGTCCTGATTTCTGGACCCTTGGTATCAAGCATAACAGCACAAGGAATCCCGGTAATCTTCGAAGCGATTCGAAGATTATCCAGGGTTTCTTGATGATAAGCGTGAGAGCCATGAGAGAAGTTGAAACGGGCAACGTTCATGCCAGCCTTAAGCAACTCGGAAATCATGTCCACCGACCTTGACGCCGGACCCAGGGTGCAAACAATCTTCGTTTTTCTTTGGGGCATTGTTGATTGATTTTGTTGGATGCAGAGTTTCAGGGAAGAAGAAAACGTACTCAATTCAGCCGCCATTATTGCTCGATGATGATTGATTGGGTAGGTTTTACTTGTGAGACAAGGTTTAGAGAGATGTTTTGTTGAATTACAGAGTCTTAATCGACGGTCTTATTTATAGGGGTGGATGCATGTGGTTTATGGAAAGTTTTGATTAGGTAATTAGAAAAGTTTTGGAATACAATTAGGAATCGGAAATTATAGGAATATATTGTTAGTAATCGGTATACAATTAGCAATTGGTAATTATTAATAAATGTTTTAAATGGTACTCCGTATTAATATTAAGAAAGACGGTGTATGTACAAGAAAAAAAAGAAAAGAGAAAATAATATGTTTCAAGTTCTTCAGCCCTCAAAATTCTACGGACTACTAATCTATATCTCCAGGTGCATATATCCAACGTATTGCACTGATTCCAGTGTAATGCATTTAATTTGTCATATTAGTACTTAAATTACCATTATATCTTATTTAAGTTTACCACTATGTATATAGATTCATCACACTCGGGTCTATTTTTGTCCCCATGACATGCACATTAAAAATGTAGAAAAGCTTAGGCCCAAAATATTCTTTTATTGTATATTTTCTAGAACTTACACGAATTTATACAATGATGAAATGAAATTAATTTTCATAAATACAAACAAGATCAAATTGTAGCGCACACTAGCTAAACCATGAATAAAACAAAATCCGGTTTACATGAAGCTGATATGAAATGACATGCTTAATTAGAACCAAAACGAGACAACTGAATGAAACGATATGATCAATTTGATATTCATGATGATTTTGAAGTTGCTAGTTTGTGTGCGACTTAGTTTATTCCTTTGTTTGCAAATGTAATTTTTCCAACTTCCTTTATTATTTTGTAATAATTATGTCGTATGAACAAGTTCTGAATTTATTGAAATTAAATAAAAAAGAATTTTAGGATAGTAGAAATACTAGAACGTTAGCTAACAGATTGAGAAAATGTACATCACAGATTATACATACACACTTGTTTGTACAGAACCACAGATTATCAAACTCTCTAGACCTTCCAAAAATGCCGATTAAAAGTAGTTATGTGTGTATTTTTCCGTTTTCTACCCATTACGCGAGTAAGGAGACAATGCATACATTTCTACTGTTAAGATTCAAAGTTCCAAAATCTAAAATAAACATGCATGAAACATACAACCAGTCAGGTCGCTGCCTAAGCTCTTCTCCTTTCCAATCGAACCTTAGGAACAATCATACCCAACTTTCCACACTCAACATAAATGAATGAATATACAACGAGGAGAATTAGGAACAGTGACTTCATGATATCATATGCTTTTCAAAAGATTGAAATTAACAATACCCCTTCACAAAGATATAATTACACATTATCACAAATAGATATATAGTAGTGTCTGTTTCAAGACATCCGATAAAATTATACTCCACAATTTTTTTGGTAATAAATTACTCCACAATTATGATGGACAGAAGTTGTTTGGTTTTGTAAGTAGGCTCCATCAGTGGCAGAGCTAGAGGGATAAGTAGGAGCTGTCCCCACCCCCCCTCCCCCCCCCTCCTTCCCATTTTTTTTGTAAGAGACTCTTAAAATTTTAGTCTAAATTTCTATATTATCATAATTTCGCCACTGCTAAATACTATATTTTTATAAATTTTCGTTGCTCCATTTTGTAAATCCTGCTCCGCCACTGGCTCCATTTGGGACTTGTGCTCCATCCGGACCTGTGCTTATTAATGAGTTCCAATCCCACATTGGTTTTGAGAGACTCTGAGTATCAATATATAAGCTCCATAGACTATTTCTCTCATAGCCAATTGAGTTTGAGGTGGAAACCCTGAGTTTCTATATAGTATCAGAGTTAGCCCGCCGACATTCGGACTCCAAAAAAAGGATTATGATATGACTTATGATATTAACGTCTCATTTTAATCTTTTATTATGTTGATTCAATCCCAATTTCAATTCTTTACAAGCAAACACAGCTTTAGCTAATTTTAAGTTAATTGTTGGATTCTTCTCAAATTGGGTTCTTTTAAAACCCCTTATCATAGCTTTTTCTTCGATGGATTAACCTCTATTTATAGGCAGATCAAATTTGTTTGTATTTACTCAAAAAGGATGAAATCGAGCCAGGAGAACCTAATAGCTAGGGAAATTAAATATATAATGAATAGACGAAATTAATTTACTATCTATAAAGTGACGACATATGATGGATGTATTCATTTACATATTTCGCATCATGCTCTATTGCGTGATACTTTTTCTAGTGCATTACTCGCATAAAGCATTTTCTTTTTCATCATAAAAATTAACAATGGTATAACCGTAAAGAAATGTGAGCAAATATTGATGATAGATATGGCTAGTTTTGTTTGACCAGGAAGAAAATAGATTACGGAAATCTGGATTTTTTGCAGATAGTAAGCATTTTGACCGTAACGCTTGTCCACAAGTCTAATACCAGAAAAAATTATTTGACCTCATATTCACAAAATCCAATATAATTTAATTGGCTTTCTTCTTCTTCTTCTTAATTTATTATTTTTAATGTGAACAATCCCCTCAAATGCAAGTTTCGACGATATAATGGTATTGACCGTGAGGCGAAGTTCAATACTTGGTATGAAATTTTAGAAATTTATATTTGATATTCCTTCCGCCTAAAAAAAATATTTTATCTTTTGTTCTAATTATTTTTTAGGACAGAAAGTACCATTTTCATTTAAAACACGATTCTTTTTCGTTTTCCCGTACTAGTATTAATTTTTTTTTGGGGGGCGCGGGCGGGGGGGGGAAGAGATTAAAGGAGCACATAGTTTTACCGGGGTCATTTTTCCTCAGAAAGACAAAGGGAGGTACAGTAAAAAGATCTTCCTCTAGTAAAGAACGATAACAAAAACGTCAAGAAATCAAAAGTTGTTTCAACAAAGATAAGAATGTTTTCTTTTATCCCTTCACATATGTAGAGACTTACAAAGTGTATAGATCAAATTCCAAATAGTTACTATACTACTAATTAGTAAGAGTATATTAGCTGACTCTCTCGTCTACTGTTTTGAGAGAAAAGAGTTGCTTGTTTTGGTACATTGGCCCCATTTTGACATGGGCCAAGAAGAAAGAAGCGCCATAAGTGTTGCCGGCTCGGAATGTTACGTTGACATCATAGCCCTCAAATCTCTCGAAGTGGATGTCTGCTGCCGAAGGGTACTGAGCATAGATTACGGTATGGTTTTTCCGGCCGCCTTCTTCCGCCGCAAAAAACATAGCCGTGCCTACAGCATCGGTAGTATCCCCAGAGAAGCAAACCAACGGCATTAGTGCGAGGATGAGGAGTTGCAGTTTGAACCACATTTTTCTTTCTTCTTCTTTTTTTTTTTAATAGTAATCTTTATTTTGTTTTGGGTTTGGAGTGCTTTTGGTGAATGATTTGTTTCTTTGCGGATCGATGGTTTTGATGAATTTTAAGCTCTATTTATAGACATGTCAAGTTCTCCCGGGAATGCACAGAACAGTATAGAATTGAGCTTGGTGAATAATCAAAAGATGGGAGTCATTAAATCACTATATCAACAAATGGCAACACGATAAGAAATGTGTTGGGAAAAAGTCCTAACTTATTGTTGGTAAAAATATTGAAAAATTTTTTTAGAGGTTAAGGGATCCGACCGTTCACGGGTTATGCAATTTTCGCGCGTTATTTCTTCTTCTTCTTGTTTTTTTTTTTTTTTCGAATTCACAAATGCCCTTTATAATTTTCCAAAGAAATCATGGGAGTAAGTGATGATGTTTATATTGACTAAAGCTTTCATATTAAGATCTGATTTTCCGTTGAGAAATGTTAATTGGAGAGATTCCCATGCATCGGCTTTCGAAGGTTTGGGACCAAGAAGTTTCATTTCCGACTTTCAGTTATTAACAGGCTACGGAAACTTTATTTTAATTTCCCAATTACTATCTCTGTTCAAAAATGATTATCCAATTCAGATTTTAATTTTTAGTATAATTCAAACTTAAAAGGTATTAAAAAAGATAATTATTTCGGATAGAGAAAATATAACATATGTTTTTATTTCAAATGACATAGACCTCACGAGGATATTTAATTGTTTTCTGGGGTGTATTTTTTTTTTCCCTATGGAGGGACAGGTTATGTTTGCATACAAAGTTTGAGTGTATTGACATGTTAAGAGCTACAGAATGTCAGAACGAGCTCGCGTGTAACTCTTCTTTTTTTTTTTTTGTTTCTTCTGGTAACGTCAAGAACCCCTCCAGAGCTTGGGTGTAATTCTTTTATTATGCACTTGATGTCGAAATAACAATTTTTACTAATTGGAATCAAGACAGATAGATTTCCTACTAAGAGATGAAAGCCCTATTGAATTGTTGTACCATTCGTGTTTTGTAATTTTGTGAATTTGATACATATATGTTGAGATAAATTTTAAGAATAAATTGAAAAATGCGTTTAGACAAACAAATTAATTTTTGCCGACCATCATCGAACAAGCGGCACTATAAGCCGCGGTGGAGGTGATGGTTAAATATAATCGTTGGATGAGGCAAAGAAGCGTTTTGGCAAAATTCAAGAGTTTACACACAAAACCAAGTTTAAGATTACAGCCCAAACATAGCTTCAGTGTGTGTATAATTCTTTTTAAAGACCTGTTGGCTTTTCCACTAGTTTGACTAATATGCATGGATATTTGCCGGATAGATCCTACGGCCAGTTGGTACCTTTGCATGAGAAATATTTATTGAAGCATCTGTTAACCCACTTAAAAGATGGGATAAAGGTTGCTAGGATTATTGGAAATTTAAGCAAATATTCATTAAACGTAGGCCTGTCTCTTTGAGAAATGCAGCTTTTGTACCCCTTGAAAACAATTTAGTTAAGTGCTGATCTTATAAATCTATTTAAGATATATAAGAGCTTATATATCTTATATATCGACATTACAAAAACCAGATTAAGCGAAGCGGGTTGTACTCGTATGGAGTAAAACTTTTTTAAACCGGTTCCGGGCCCAACAAGTAGTGCTTAATTTCTTCCCAGTGAATCCTTAGAATAGGATCATCTGAATTTTTGGCTCCAGAAAAATAATCCTTAATTCAATAAAATAATTAGATTATTTTCTTGAAAGGTATGAAGTATCTTGCCTAACTTTGTTACGGAAGGATAGATGTTAGCAACGTACTAAATGGAAAAATTTAATATACAATCTATGCATGCACATAGAGGCAATCAATATGCTCATGTATTTGTATCCCTCAAGTAAAATTAACACCCATCCTCAATTGTATCTGACTGTACGAGTTAATGTGAATATAGTGCAGTCGCTATATATATTAAAGTTTTCTTGATCGAATCCCTCCTAAACATTACTCAAACTTGGCACAGATATTTACAAAACGACCTTATAGCTACTCATAAACCAGAAATCATCTCAAATCTCAATGCTTCGGATGAGAACATTAATTTGCACCATGCTGAGGATAAAAGCATAAGTATATGTTATATATAAACTCTGTTAACCTCTTAACCTTACAGGTAGGACTAAAATTCTCCGAAACAGCTAGTAAAAGAAACTAAACGAGGCCAAACTAAACAAACCCCAGCTAAATTAGTAGTACTTCTTGCGGGTTGCGGCAGCAATATCAATTAAGCACCAGTAGAAGAAACAGGAACGGGTTTAAACCTCCATTCCACGAGTTCAAGATCGCCGTGCAACGGCTTATATACCATGGCTTGGAAAGTTCTCATGGGAGCGGGAGCAGCAGCATCACTATTATCGGAATTTTCCGCAACCGCCTTAGCAGTGAAGATCAAAAGCATCATAAAGTTATGGGTCTCCACTCTCCACACCTCTCTCAACTTCCACATACTCGAACTTTATGCCGTTCCCCTTCTGCACTCAAAAACCATCACACACAATTATTAATACTATAAAAAGAGGAAAGGATGTAGAAAAGGGGGGGGAAAAATACTTCCTCTGTTCCAAAATTTTTAGCTAGCTTTTAGCACAATTTGAACTAAAAATGAAAATCGTTTCGGGACGGAGGGATTACAACATACCATTTCATCATTGATTTTAGCCACAGCGGATTTTGATTGTTCCTTTGCTTCCTCATGAAGCTCCTCGTCGATGCTAAAGGGTCGAGGTGCGAAAGGAGAGTCCAAACACAGAGGCGGATAGCATTCCACATCATAACCCTAGCCAACAGAAAATTCCCAATTAAATTAGCTCCACAATTACCAGCAAAATAGTGCGTTGTTTCACAAACAATTGAAATCACCGAGAATCTAATTTTGAAAAATCAGCAAAAGCCATTGAGAAATCAAAACCCTAATTCTAATTTCATAAAGGAAGAAAGCATAGATACCCTAAGAAAATATTCCCTCTGTCATAAAAAATAGAGTTTTGTACTACTAAAAAAAATGTCCACGTTAGTTTTAAAATTTTTATAAAATTAATACAAATCTCAAGACTCAATGTGCATTATTCTTTTTTGGAACAGAAGAAAATTAAAATAAAAAAACGGTTGGTTTTGGTGATTTGTACTAGTATTAATTAAAATGGAAAGGACTCACCCTGCTATCCCGGAGTTGTTTAAGGAACATTTTGGCCATCTCAACTCTCCTATACTCCTCGTAGAATTCATCATCCCCGCTGTCCTCGTCTTCATCGCGGAACATCGATTCATCCACCTCTTCTTTGTCTTCAAAATCGTACTTCTTTGTCTTCAATTCGTTTTCGGTCGGCGGCGGGTATTCCCTGGGCGACGGTGGCATCGCGGAGAAGGGCGGAGACGGATTTTCCACGGTTCTCAAGAGTCTGCCTGTCCAGAATCCCTGTGTATGTTTTGGGATACTCCTTTTTCTCAACTCTTTAATGTTTTATAAGGCAGGCACGAAGTCGTCTTCTTAAATCCAAAACCTGACTCTATTAGGACTCTTGACGACAGATGCGGCCCACATTGTTTGAATTATCATAACTCCTTCTGGAAATATTTATCTTAGGTATTATGATGATTTTTGCACAATCATTCTAGAGAAAAGTGATCTTATTTCTACTTCACAGATAAAGATTTGTTTTTCTACCCATAGTTTGCAAACTCGCAATCCTAGATTCGATCCTACGATTCCAGGTACCTAAATTGATCTTAGATCAATCAAACTCGAATTTTGCAGTAGGATCAGAGTGGGACCAATCAGGATCGTACAGGATCGGTCAGGATCGTAGGATCGGTCCTAGCTTACTATTCATCAATTGCAAAAAGTTAATTGAGTTTATTAAGAATTTTCTTTTCTCTTATTTCTTTTGGTTCACATTCAATTGAGGCTAATATTCTTTGAGAAAACTTTTATTGCTAAAAAAACTATATTTTAGAAAGTTTTTCTAATAATAGGAAAACAAGAACTATAAGAGAATAGTTTTTATTAAAAAGTTATGAAAAGATTCATATAACAAAAATGAATTTACACATTTCTTTTTGTTTAAATGTTAAATACTTTATGTAAAGATGATTGAAACCTAATTATCAAAGCAATTAATTATATAACATATATAATTAATTTTACGATCCTACTATTTCGATCCTACCGATCCCATTTACGATATGATCCTATGACCCCATTTCGATCCTACGTAGGATCACGATCCTGCAAACATATTCCCATCATTAATTTCACCCACAACGAATTTAGATGCTTCCTTTGCGTCCTCATGAAGCTTCTTGTCGATTCTAAAGGGTCGAGGTTGAAAAGGAGAGGCGAAACACGGCGGCGGATAGGATTCCACATCATAACCTTAGCCAAAGAAAATTCCCAATAAACTAACAATTACCAACAAGTAGCCAAATATTACTTAATCATAACAACAAGAATAAAAGTATGCATTTTATAACAAACTGAAGATCGAGAATTTTATTTCAAAAAAGCAGCAAAACCCTTAAAGTCATTAAGTATAATCAGAACCCTAATTTTCCTAGACAGGAATAATCATAATTGATACTCTCTTTGCTTAAAAAAAAAATAGTTAGTTCATATCGAATTTTGAAATGTACATTATTTTTAGTAATACAAATTTTAAAACTCGACGTGGACTGATTTTTTTTTTCTTTTGAGGGGACATATGGTATTGTATTAATTAAAACCAAATAGACTCCCCTGCTCTCCCGGACTTGTTTAAGGAACTTCTTGGTAATCTCAAGTCTGCTGACGAGCTCATAGCATTCGTCATCTTCGCTGTCCTCATCCTCGTCGCGAAAAATCGACTCATCCACGTCTTCCTTGTCTTCAAAGTCATACTTCTGTAGGTATGCGTTAATAAGATGTAATTCGTTTTCCGTCGGTGGTGGGTATTCTGTGGGCGGCGGTGGAAGCGCCGAAAAACCACAACACTGGAGGTGGTAGCGGGGAAGACGACCGGGAATCGGAGACAAGCGGGATCAGGGAAGGATTCTCCATCGAGGTCTCAAGTGTCTTTCTGTCCAGAATTCCTCTGTATGTTTTGGGATCTTCCGTTTTATCTATACTTTATTTAATGCGCGCTCAAAGTCTTTGTTTTAAATCCAAAACCTAAATTTATAAGGACCAAGATTCCATAGAATCGAATTTTCATAACAAATAAATACCCTTGAAAAAGAAATATATTTTGTTCATTTATACAAATTCTGTCTCAAGATGTTTGTGTTATTTATTATCGTAATAACAGTGTGCACCAATCATTTAGGATAAAGTATTATACAGATAAAGATTTATTTTTCTACATATCTTCTTCTCTTGGTGAAACTTGTAATGGCCTCTGGATTAGAATTGAACTATATTTTTGATTATTAGCATCGGTATTTGTATGAATATTGAAATGCAAAATATTGGTACAAATATAAAAATAATGCATTTTATCATTTTAATTATGTGATCTAATAAAAAAGTAAATGAGTGAAATGCGAGTAGGCGTTAGCATTATTTATATTTATACATTTCAGTCAACTTATTTTTTTTTAACTAACAGGAGTTATACCTGATGATACCACAAACTACTGATGACCATTTTTTATAATCTCAAGTTTGTTCATGTGCCTTAATTATTCACCAGGAGAAATATTACTTGAGCATTGTTCTTTAATTTACTGTTTCCGACCTTTAGTTGTATTTCATACATGAGTTAAAGTTATTACTGTAGCTGCATAGAGGGTTGTGTCAGATAATTTTAAAGGCTTTATGTAGTCCATTTATCAATCCAATGAGTAATCAAAACTATATATTGGTTTGATTCGTGCATGATCTCAGGTGCTGGTTGAAACTTGAAAGTTCAAGTTGTGAGTTTGCTCTCAAAGTCAACTTCATGATTTATCCCAAAAAATAACAAATGAAATAACGAAAAGAAAATACCAGCTCAGAAATTTGCATAGCTAGGAAGAACTGAATCGAAGAAGTGGTAAGAAACCAATAGCAAAGAAAATACCGGCTCAGAAATTTTGCATAGGAAGAAGTGGTAAGAAACCAATATAGCATCAGTTTTCCAAACTTTGTTGACAAATTCAACAGGCTCGTATCTCGACCGCTGGCTAATTGAGTCGACCAAAAAAATCAAGTTGAGCTTCGTCAAGTTACTCATCAGAATCTTTATATCAATACTCCATCCGGTCCTCATTTTGATTTGTCTTAAATTTCACTCAATACGTATTTCTATTGAAAAGAAAAACATAAAATTACATTTTCATATTTATTGTGTTCTCCTAATTAATAGAAAATATTTTTAAGATTTTTTTTAATTAGAAAATCATATTAAGACTAATCAAAATACCTTAAAAATAAATTAAGATTAGAGGGAGTAGTAAATATCAAGTTTGGTTTTGTCGACTGGGTGTCGATCACCATTGCTTAAACCAACAAATAATAGCAAACATACATATACTTTAGTTCTGTTAATAGGCTCTTAGTTTGTCTTATATAAACTTTAGTTCTGTTTGAATTTTGGCGGCTTAGTCATACTTTTCATTATGATATCAATATCAATAAAAAAAAAAAAAAAGAAGGCTAAGTCGAGTTATTTCATCGACTTTGTCATCAGATTATCTCAAATATCGAAGTTGATGAAAATATACAAAACCTACAGCTAAGGTTCGTCGATTTTAACGTCGGGGTTAATCTCTAGACTCTAAAGTCGACGAACAAATTAACAAGAGAAATTGAGTTTGAAATTGTTACACAATGGACCCGTCCTTGGAATTGGTGGTAATAAAAAAATAAAAGTATGAGGTAATAATAAGGAGAATTTAGTTTAGCATTAAAAACTAGATAATAGTAAATTTAGGTAAAAAGTTGACATATACAATTTTAATCCTAAAGAACATATAGAAATTTAGTGTTAAGGAAATTAGAAGAAAAAAGCAAACGTCCACGTGAGCCAAACTCATATTCAGATGTGACATGAGTTAATTGTGATTTTATTTTTGCAAAAAACATTAATCCAAAGGAAGCAATTGAAGAACTTTCAGTATATATATTCAATTAAGTTCACATGAAAAAAAAAGAAAATGTTTATGCTCGATATCACCTGCGGTTAATTACATATTCCCTCCGATCCTTATTATAAGGTACTTTAATTTCTCCTAAATTTCATTTATTCTGTCTTTCAATTGGAAATAAAATTTAAATATTTATTTTCATATTTATTATGTTTCTTTCAATTATTATAAAATATTTTTTACGTTTTATTTTTAATTGAAAAAATACTGTAAATGAAATTTAAGAAAAATCAAAATATCTTATAATGATGACTGGGGTATGATGAAATGGAAGGCAAGGTGTTGAATTGCCTTTGAACAAATTAATGATAGGAATTTAGAATCCGAAGAACTCTCAGTAAATTTGGAGTTTTTATTGAAATGAGTAAATTTGGAGTAAAATGCCAAGAATCTTCTGGCGTAACTTCATGAATCACTGAAGAGGTCCCATAACCAGTTCACCAGCAATGCTTCACTATGCAAGCTTGGTCGCGAGCAACTTTCAGTAAGTATTTCTACTTATATTTTTGTTGTCGATTTATGTTATGTATTCCCTCTAAGTAAGCATTTCTACTTCCAAATTATAGTGTTTAATACTCGGAATGAACCATTTGATCCCAAACTATGGATCACACCTGGTGATAACTCCGAAAGTTACAGTCTAGAGAGGGAAGTGCTATCCCGAAAAAGAATGGTTAACATATTACAGAAAAGGTCGATGAAAAACGTCTGTGTCCAACTGGCTTTGAAAAAACATTCTGCATTGGATAATCTTATCACACGCACCTCTACTTCGAACATCCAGCATTTCCTCCTAGACTCGTAACCAAACCTAAAGTCCGCACTGTGAATAATGATTTGCTTAGCAATCAGCAACCAAGGCTGGACTGCACAAGCACATTCTACATGCTGCCCATGAGCTTCATCGGCACATTGTCAATACAGTTCACGAAGTTGAGCAATATTCAAGTTTGGTCTAAACATTTGGATGGAATTCAAAGACAATGTCCCCTAAGGCAACTTTATCTTCATCTGTTATAATGGCTCGAAATGAGACATGTCGGTTTTTGTTTCATGTTGAGTATACTTACATCAGGAACCTTCCGATGGTTCTGAGAGATTCAATGACAATATTTCTTGATTCTTTGCAGGTTCTAGGGGATGTAATCGAATCTCTTGCCAGAGCAATACTCATTGGCAACTTTGAAAAGACCATTCCTTCTACAAAACCGCACATGATGCTTTCATGGCTTTCAGGATGCAGAACACCGCTAACATTGAAACAGAGAAGAATTTGTACTTTTATCACAACGATTAATTCAATTTGCAAGTAAGATGATAGTTACAAAATTTCAAACTTTGAATTTATATAAATTAACTGATAACCATTTACATTAACTAAACAGTACTAATGTAATAGTCCATTCTATTATGTTTTAATAATCCATCATGATAGAATGTGTAATAGAAGGTATGAGAAATTAACCCAAGTATAGTAATGCTATGGCAAATAAGTGTAATCCATTGAAGGTGCTCAAAGCATAAGTACATACTTGAGCTTCCATGGGGGCTTCACTTCCTCAAGTTAAAGAGTAAAGCAACCAAAGCAAGAAGAGAATCCAGGATCTCCTTCACTCTTAAATAAAATCTGCCCCGATGTTCTTCTATAGTTCTCCATCGTGTGATACTCCAGGAATATTAACATTCATCAACCAAATCACTTTTTCTCTCCCCATTCTCATGATCAACTTCATGGCCAGCTAGCTTCCAACATGTTACGAATCACTGCCTGAGTTTACAATAAGCCAATTCTTCCAGTTGTAAAATCTTCCAGTACATCACTTTGCTAGGCTAGAGCCATCGGGAAGACTAACTGATTGGCATCGGTCATGCGAGGATCGAGCTTCCTTAAAATAGGATTTATGGAACATTAAAATCTGTTTTTCCCCTCAGACATTTAATCAGACACGTCTATTCACATCCATTGGGAAACCTAGGATTCATCCATGTAGTTTTGTTCAACTTCGTTAGCAGGAGAACTACAATTTTTGCTGGGTATTTTGACATGGTAAAACTGATTCATCTTTTCCTCCAGTTGTTTCAATCTCCTCTCGAACATCATTACACCTAAATGCAGGATTCTGAGATCAATTTGAGCTACTCTAGCACAGGCTCGGAGTAAGATGTAATAGTCTGCGTGGCAAGCATACTCATAGCTGCCTTCCATCTTTTTCCTGGAATAATAAACGTACCCCATTTTCTTCATTTGTCGCCTAGGTGGAATATAGGAAAATCTGTTTTCATCCATGTCCAATTTTAGCTGTCTTATTGCTTCATCTCTTACAGCCTCAATTGAAGTTTGAGGCCCACCTGTCTGGTTCATAGCACTTTCTGAAGCATCTTGCGATCCGATGCTATTACACTCCGTAGATTCAAGATCATTGCTTTTCCTTGTTACATTATTCGAAGCTGTAAATATGTTCCCACCCAAATCCCATGCCTGTGTGCACATTTTTTCATCTCTTGGCTGTTTCAAACTCTACAATGAAAAAATGTAAAGCAATTAGCTCCATATCGGCATAAAAACATCAACTAGGGGAAAACACCTAGTGCCACTTCAGTAAGTTCCAGGAATTGATATCAAAGAATCGTGAGAATACAAGGATCAGATTTTCAAGAACTGAGTATCAACTTTCCCTTGTTTGTATAGCAGAAAAATGGAAATTAACCTCAAAATAAATGTAGAACGTGGTACAACCCCAAAGTTAATTCTTGGAACTTACAGTACTAGTAAAATGAACAAAAGAAGGTTACACTTTATCTTGAAACCCAAAACTGATACAACTTACACAAATTATTAAGATACTCTGCCCCACAGAAACTTGAACAGTAAAATGTTGACATCACAATTAGCCTTCCAAATCACAACTCACGAATATAAATATTGTTTGTTATTACTGTTAATGAATGAATCTTCTGAAGGTGAATGAAACAAATTCTCCACCATTCAAAAAAGAAATCAAGATACCTCATTTTGATAAAAACCCCAAAACTCTTGAGTTATGTTTCCCTCATCATGATCTTCATAGGATGGGCCTGAACCAGTAAATATCACTTCCTTGCAATATTTAAGATATGATGACAGATCTCGTGAACATGCTGTCAAGCAAGGAAAACATGCCAGAAGCCTGTCAGTTCAAAATAAAGATAAAAAAGGAGTACTACTACATGCCATTTTCAAACAAAATTATTAATTTACCATGCGGATCTTTAATTTTAGAGTACTTAGTTCCGAGCATCTTTAGAAGTGATATAATGTCCAATTCAAAGTCTTCATCATCTGATGCATTCTCAAAAGCACTGTTCACAGGTTTATTTACATTTCCTTTGGGAGAACATGAACTGCTGGAAGTTGACAAACTCTCTTCCCACTTTCCCGAACCATTTATATCATAAAGAATCCTTATGGTCACAATCAGTATAGCCATCACACATACACGTGTGGGTAGCCTGGCCTTGTTGGTGGAGATAAATAAACCTGGAGGCACAGACCACTCGTAGATTCGGCATGCCTGTCGAAGAATATTGTTGACGGGAATAGACAACTGAAGCAGAAAACGGGAAGCTATACCATGGAAGTTCACTGGAGGCAATTCCAAACCTACCTTCTGAGCAATATAAGCTGCCGATGCCTCTAACTGTTGCAATGAAATAATCTTTGTAGGTCTGAACATACAACTGGCACTGATAGGACATGCACTGGAAGGATATCCAAGTTGCTTCTCAATTTCAATAAAAGCAGCAATATATGGAAGCTTTCCTTCAACGACCCAATTTATGATATCCGTTGGCAATACTAATTCTCTTGATAAATGGCAAACAAGAAAACTAATAGCCAAAGAATAAGATAAGGGGAGTGTTCTGCGCAAGTATCTGTGCCATATCATAACAGCCCGCTGTCCAAACATACTATGTGGTTCAGTCCGATGCTTAAAACGAGGTTGAAAATCCATTGCTTCATCTGCCAAGAAAATTACACAAGGTCATGACCCAGCAGCACATCCCATGATGTCACGTTAAATGCACTCGGAATTAAACTGTACATAACTAAATAGCAAAAGGATTTAAATCATGCAAAATTCTGCTGAAACATCATTCGGAACCACCCTCCTGACCCCAAACTACCTATTTTTTGCAACCAAACACTCAATTAGTGGTGCTGTTACAGAACCACGACGAATTAAAAAGAGGTAAAGCGTTTAGGCATATATGTAAACATGCAACGCAAACAATCATTACAAATATGGAAGGTTAGACCAAGCAAGAGCTGAAGAACATTCCCAATAAACTAACATTAGTGAAGTATCTTGTTTCTACATACTTTATATCCATCGTCACTTAGAACAAATAATCCTAATCGGCGGATAATAGATGACGGACACAAGAACAAATATAAACGATTAACAGCAGCGTATAAACAATAAAAAACTAAGATTAAGATTGAAGACAGAGCCTTCAAAATCTTCAAGGACTTTCAATCAAAAATTTCACTCCACAGTACACCAAAAACTACTACTTTGGCTTCACGCAAAGGCAGCAGGAATCATGAGCTTTCACGCTCTAATTCAATTTTCAAAAGCCAAAGGGTTTAAGAAATAGTTTAAAGCAAAAGGCAGGAGGGACCTTGAATATGTGACTCTGATTCTTCTATAGCCTCATCTGCCCATTCATCAGCCACGATCCTTGTAATAGCTAGTAACCGTAACCATATAGGTCCTACCAGCCCAACAATTAACGGGCTGACATTGAATTTCTCAACCAAAGCCTTAACTTGCAACTGAATCAAAATCTGAAACCCCCTCACGTACCTTGACCTGATCTCCGAAAGAAAGTCATCATAACTTAGATTTGAAGGAGTAGATGCAAAATCGGCGGGCTGAGTAGATCCATTATCAGGACCTGCGTCAATAACACCATAATCTCCCACCCCTTCAGGTACTCTTTCAAGCTGAGATTGCCTCATTTCATCACGGCTGGGACGACGAGCGTTTTTGCTGGAGTAAATAGCTTGTTCACCATTAAAAATGTCCTCCAGATCAATCTCAGTCTCAATATAATCATCCACTTGCGAGTTGCAGCGATTACAATAGAGGAAGCCATCATCACCGTCTCTAAAGCCAACATTGCCACAAAGCTGACAAAAGGAGCTCATTCCTGTTGTCGTTTTCTTTCAGCACACACTAACTTGTGAAATTGACTGCTTTGCCTAAGAAGGGCGAGGTAAGTTTTAAATCAGGAACAATAGGAATTCACTAGAAAGAAAACTCTTCACTTTTCATTGTTTTCAAAATCTTATTATTCAAAGTTTCTAGGTGTGGACCTCTACTATTACACAAGTACACTTTACATACTTCAGTAAGCAAGACAACTTTTCCTTTGCTCAACTGATCATACTAAAAGAAATAAAAGATGCCTGAACGTCATACATTTCACCACTTGTCTTGACTGAGAATGAAATGCCAATTAGGCTCAAGACCAAAAAAAAAATCCATGAATAACATCTCATTCCAAACTAGAAAGTATATGTAATTTGGAGAATCTCCCATCACAAAACTTCTCCATTAGAAATCAAAGTTTGCAGTGTAAACTAACCACATTTCAAATAAACACTCGAATTACCCCCAATCCACTTTTCGATAAGCTAACAAAGCACCTAACATATAATTGAGCAGTACATATGTAGACAAATAAGAATAGGTGGCATACATTAAGTCACAAAAACAATTCAATAATTAGGAACTAGGTGTGATTCTCGGAGGTAGGAACAAAAAATGATCAAAAACCTTACCTTGGAGAAATCAAGCTCTGATTTTGAGCTCAAACTGCTCTTTTGTTGAAAAGCTAACTGTGCTTCATGAGGTGGACAAATTCATGTTATGTTTTGTCCCTGAGTGGATTAAAACTTATGGCAAGTTTGGGGCTTGATAGTACCGAGGATGGAGGTCGGAAGGTGTTTTCCAATTAGCAATAGAATAAAAAGAAGAGGAGCCGATAATAGTGGCGGCGCCGCGGTGGTAGTTTTATAGATAGTTTGGCCGGCAGCCTGGTAGCGGAGGCGGAGTAACAGTCTAGGAGGCAAACAGGGGGAAACAAACGGAAACGAAGAAAAGAAGGCATTTATAAGTAGTCCCCGATGGTTTCAAAAATTACATGATAAACCCCTATGGTTAACAAACATTTAAAAAGAATCCCCTTTTTTAAAAAAAAGAAAAAGAAAAGAGAAAAACCTGCAATAAATTCTTCTATTTCAACTTGACAAATCTCATACTTCGCCAATGCGGTCATCTCGATTCCTGTACCATTGTCATGTTTATTGTATTTCTCCTTTAAAAAAAAAAAAACAAGAAAACTAAAATATACACTTTAGGCACTTCTCCATTGAGAATTGCAACATATTTTTCTTTTTTTTTTTTTTTGGTAATAAAGATTGCATCATATTCATATTTGATTGCTCTTTGTGCCATCACGCTTTTTGCCACCTTCGCTCATTGGTAACGTTACAAAAGGAAAAATGGTTGGAATCGGATCATCGTTATTGAATGAAAACATTACCCTCCTCATCCATCACACTTTTTGTCTCCCTTTTTTCTTTATACCCCAATAAAATGAAGCATAAATTGCTTACAAGTACTAGAAAAAGTTGCTGAAAGTTCACCAAATTAGCCATCTTTTCAGCCATCGATCGGGTCAAATGCCCTATATACATCCCTGTTTTCAGAAGGTGCACATACGCAAAGATAGATACATATAACTTTATTTATTTATATTATATAGGTGGAAGCCCAAAGTTTAATTACAATCACACACCCCTCATATGACGAGTAATTGATTTATCTTAAAAAAGATCACTTTATAAATGTATCGTGCATAGGATTTATCAAAATATGTAATCCACGCACCGTTCCTAGACCTTCTTTGCTAATATATCAGCTATGATATTATATACATTCTCTAAAAATGAGTATCGTAAGTAGCATTCTTATTCTATTGAAATAAACTAGACTGGTTTCCCATGTGTTGAACATTCTCTAGACCTATCAATAACTTTCTTATTCTACGAGTAGGGCTCATATAACTTTCTTTATTTGATTACACCTATCAATTCATTCCACTTAAGAAGTACTCCCTCCGTCCCATAATTATTGTCCACTTTGCCCAAAAAATGTTGTTTCAAAATTATTGTCCAATTTGACTTTTTATGGATCAAGTTACACATTTGTCCTTAGTAAAAAACCATTATCCATAAAATCTTAGTGGTTAAACAATTACTTATGTAGGGGTATATCCGGTTGTTTTAGGTAAAATATAGTAAGTTTGACTAAGAATAAAATCTTTCATTTTACTAAAATTGGACAATAATTATGGGACGGAGGGAGCAAGAGCCACCATTTCAGCTAAAGCTAAGGAACCAATTATTGTTGTTTGCTTTTCCCTAAATTCTCTACGGGTAATGATCCTAAAAAAGGAGCCCAAGGCCTATTTTGTAGGTCGTAGGGGTGGGGGGCATTCAGCGTCTGGGCCAAGTTCGAATAAATTTTGGTGGCCGAATTGGAGGCCCAAATTCATGTTCTTGGAACCGTTGGAGTCGGGAGTTGCGTCCAAAACTGGGAGCGCTAATTCAACAAAATGTTAATCCACCTTTTTTTTTTTTTTTCCGTTTCCCAAACAATCTCTTCAAAATCTCAAAAAACTCGGGATTAATAATGTTTTGTTGAATCGGATTTGTGTAGTTCAGGCTTGGTATAGATTATATGTTTTGATTATTGTGTTTTGGGCAAATTTTTTCTTATTAGAACTGTAAAAAGTTGTATAAAAAATATAAAAAAAAATTCTGAAATAAGACAGTTATTAATAAAATATTTTGAAAAAACCTATTAAAAACGAACCAAACAGTTGTGGTCCCAAAGTGGATAATTCAAGACCACTAGTTATTAAAGCAGTGATTTTTATGTTTGTTATTCTACTCATAATTTCAATTAAAATTTTATTAAAAAAGAATATGATATAGTAAATAAAAATATATGCGTCGCTGATATCCCTTCAATACCAAAGCCAAATACAATATAAAAAATCTTTGATGATGCCAAACTTAAGAACATACTCCTATTTTCTTGAAGGACAAAAGCTTCAACTTACGAATCTTATACGCCTCCCAAACATAAGCCCTATACAAATTCGAACGTTCCTTTCTCCTCATGGCCGTGGCTGCGATCGTAAGATTGTAATTAGTGCCTTTCTTGTACACATAGTGCGACATTCCTTCCTCCACATGTTCAAACACTAATCTGGTGTGATTTAGCTTGTTGTGCATTTTGACTGCAAATTTCCCAACCTTTTCTATACTAACATGATGGGCATTAATGGAGGAGATACAAACAAACGCAAGAATCGCGAAGAGGGCGAGTTGATACTTGAACCACGACATGTCTATATGATCTTTGTTGTTTGTTTGGGTTGGTTTTGGATATGAAAATGGAATAATTGTTGGAATTCTGACATTAATGCTTGGATGGTTTTTTTTTTTTTTGTGTGTGAATTTAGGCTCTATTTCATAGGTGAAACTTGCGTGTGGTAATAATTGATAGATCGATCACACGAAGTGTACTTTTCGGTTAAGAACCAGAAAATTTTGTCTTTAATTACTTGTAAGTGACGTTAAGTTATCGCTAAGAAGCTTCATTAATTTGAAGATACTAGTACCGAATTCATGAGTTGGGGGATACGAAATCTATATTTTCTAAATCTGTTTCGAAAAAATAGTTTATTATATTACTTAATCTTTTAGGTGATACTTTTTCAGTTTAGCAAAACGAAGCAAATGTTACTAAGATTCCGTAGATCAATAGCTTGAAATTAATCTATTAGATTGATCTGATTAACTGAACGTCGGATTAGAACGTTCAGCTCAAGTTGAAATGACTAGACTTCTTGGAGCTTAAACGCTTTGAAATTTGACGAATCAAAGGCGTATATATATATACTATGGCCAAAGACATTCATATCGACGAAAAGTACATTGTGTAGACTACGCTGTTCGTAAAGTGTGGAATTAATGATTAGCTTCATGATATAATTAAACTGTGTCAAGTGGTTTCATACTGACATTATTACGTACAATGTAGTATTATTTGATGAAAGTTTTGTTATAACAGCAGTTGGAGAGTTTGAAAAGTTTTCTTCCATTCTTGTAACACGATTGGCCAGACTGAGACGATATCAAAAGTTGTTTGATTCGTTATATATCCTCCGGCACGAGAAATCCAAGAGTGTTGGAGTATCTACAAATCATAGCCCGGCACGAGTTTTCTCTAGATGTTGGTTGATTTGGAAGATTATTTAGCAAAAAAATTTAATTCGAATATTTTCTATATAATTGTTGATCTCCCTTGTTAAACATGAGGTTGGAATACGGCTTTGTCACATATTTTTTCATTCACGAAATATAATAATCTAATATTTATTTATGTCTTGACTTCTTTCATTTTTTAAAAAAATATAAAAAAATAAAATGCAATAAAATTTATAAAAAAAATTTTAAAAAAAATTTGAGGGTAGCTGTTTGGTGTGGCTGCTATGTTAAGATATCCTTTTGTCCTTCAAACATCACTTAGTAGCTTTGTCAATTTCATAATTGCATGTGCAGAATAACTCAAGGTTAGGGAGTCAATCAACAAAATAATAAAGATAAATTTTGTAGTATGAACTGAGTTGACTACCTCCTCTCCTCTCCGACCTCCGAACAGATACATAACACGTAACTCCTTGATGCTTTGAAGCTATAAAAATAATAATAATAATAAATGAAAAACAAATTAATTATATGTAACTTTACTGAAAACATTACCCTTCATCAATGAAATATTATTTTAGTCTTCAAATCTTTATTTTAGCTCCTTTACAAAACCTTCCTAGACCCAATAAAAGCGACGTGTAAATGCATCAGAAAAGAGTAAGACATTCTATCGGTCCTGAAAAAACAGAAAAAATTTCAGTATTGTTGTAATTAAATTCAATAAATTATTTTCAGAACATGGCGAGTATATGTAAACAATGATAACTGGTATTACATAATCAAGTACCAAAAACTTGCTGAAATAACTAAATTAATTACACCATCTTTTCAGTCATCAAGGAATAATATATCTTTTCGATCGGTTAAAGGGCCTACCAGTAGTTTTTCAGGTGTTGCAACTTTACTTTACTAATAATTCCCATAAAATAAAAGGAGATATATATATATATATATATATAACCATTTTCTCACTTCTTCTTTAAAATATTTATAGTAGGAGAAGAATGTAAAACTCTTTTGTACGTTGCTATAGTATATCCCTTCACTACATAGAGAAAAATACAATATACAAATTTTAGATGATAGCCAATCTAAGAACATTTCTTTTTGAAGGACAAAAGTCTCATGTGACCCATCTTATACGCCTCCCAAACATGAGCTTTATAAATATTTGAATTTCCCCTTTTACCCATGGTCATGGCTGCAACTGTAACCTTGTACTTAGTACCTTTCTTGTAAGCATAATGAATCTTTCCCTTCTTCACGTATTCAAATAATAAGTTGGTATGATTCAGCTTGTTATGCTCTTTTATTGCAAATCTCCCAGCCTTCTCTATACTAACATGAGCAGCATTGCCAGAGAGACAAAAAAAATGCAAGAATCGCGAACAAGACGACGATTGCTTGAAGCTTAAACGACGACATTTCCCAATGTTTCTTTTTTAAAAAAATAAAATAAAAATAATAAAAATCGATTGATTTCAATTGTTGTAATGTCGGGTTTGATTTGGATCTAATTGAAAATGGCGTTTTGCTTGATGAGTTTAGGATCTGATTAATAGATGAAGCTTGCGTGTGGCTTGAAGAAAAGAAATTGATAGATCACACGATGTGCACTTTTCTTCTGTTAGGAACCAGAGATATATGACTTTATTGATATGCAAATGACGTTAAGTTATTGAGTCGTGTTCTTCTAAATTCTACAAAAAAAAAAAATAAGAATTTAATAATTACCTAAATAAAAAAAACCTTAATAATAGGAAGATTTACTAAAATGTGAATCTA